TAAGCATTTCCGAGACGGCCTTCGTCTTTAACCGTGCTTTGCCGCTCAGGAGGTCAGTGATCCAATGGTACACAGTACGCGAATCCGTCATCAGTCGAACTCTCTTAGCACCCCAGAGGATGGCCATGTTGACGCCCTTCAGCGCGGCATCAAGTTCTGCCATGTTGATATGTGTTCCGTCGGTTGGTCGCAGCCAGCATCCGTCCTCCACCACCTCGCCCTCGATCTCGAGGACCACTCCCAAGGCCAACATGCTGGCGTCCGCCCAGACCGTCACCTCGTTCCCTTTGACGTCCCACTGACCTCTCGCTGGGTCATCTGTGTTAATTTGCGTCATTATCTCTTCGATCAGCCCATTCACTAAACTGTCCTCGATGACGTCGTCCCAAGCGTCCGCCGCTTCATTAGCCTTTCGCTTCAAGAACGACACCGCTGGCCGCAGCCAGCCACACACCGGAAGGTGTCCAGTCAAACGGCCGCAAAGCGAGAACACCTTGCGTTTCGTCACCGGCCCGTCGATCTCTCGGACGTCGTTGTCCCTCTTCCATTTGAGGTTGCCATGCTCTTCCTGAACTCGGAGACCGAGAATCCGAGCGCCTTCTTTTGGTCGTACTGGTTCCTTGCACTGGAGCCCAAAGGCTCGAAGATGTTTGCTCACATTTTCCGCGGACATCACATCCTCATTGACCAAGACATCGTCGACATATGATGACACTGCCTTTGCCACGTCCTCGTCTTGATTCACCACTGCCTCGAGGACTGTCTTCATCACCCTTGGTGCGATGTTCAGGCCAAATCCAAGTCGACTCAGACAGTATCTTGTTCCTTTGTACTCGACAGTCTGGTAAGGCCACAGAGATTCGTCTACATGTATCTGAAGGTATGCTTTCTGGAGGTCCAGAAGCGCTACGTTCGCTCCCATCTGACGCCATTCGCGGAGCTTCTCGTCACACACATCAACATCTGCCGTGTACGTGTCGACAAATGTGTTGATCTCGCGGAAGTCAAGCACGGGTCGCACCTTCCCTTTATTCTCTTGGACCACTGCCATGAGTGGAATCAGGCCTTTCGGGGGACCGTGTTCTTCTTCATCGTATTCTAGTAGCCATCCGTTCTTGATCCAGGTCTCAATCTCCTCTTCATAGTCCTTTCTGACCTCATCCGGCACAGTATACTCGCTCACTCCATTCTTGAGGCGAACTGGTGGCTCCTCACCGGACCACTTCCATTCCACTGTCCAGCGCTGCAGCTCCGCAGCGAAAACGACACGGAAGTCTTCTTTATCAACAGTCAGATCTTGCAGGTCCCCCACACAGCCACATGCTTCGTTCTCGCCGGCGAACTTTACCTCAGAGGGCGATCGTACCGCTACTCCCCCGAGAGCCCTCACTCCATCCATGCCGAGAATCGCACTGAATCCCAGCGGCTTCTTAGCAACCACAAGTGCATCAACAACTACTGGTGCCATCCCCGGAACCTGCACACGAACACCAGCCGTACCCGCACATTCCAGCCTCTCCCCGTTGGCCGTCAGCACGTACATGTCCCGCTTCTCCCAAACAGCGCAGAGTGACGAATGAATCACAGTGCGAGTACATCCCGTGTCAATTAAGACATCACAGTCAACTCCGTTCATCGATAGCTCCCTCACCGGCAGCGCGCCGTTCCATCTCAGTCCCGAGAGGAGGCCGGCGCATGGACCGCCTCTCGCTCCTCGTTTTCCGGGCACTGAGCCGCGATATGCCCACGCTTGTTGCACCGGAAACATCTCACCATGCTTGGACCGTTTCCTTCACGCGCCTGACATTCACGCGCGATATGTCCCAGACGACCGCACGCGTAACACGGCCCTCGTTCCTTCCTCCCTCCATTGAAGCGCTGGTCTTGGCCGTCTCTTTCCCGTCGCACCACCATAGCCGTTATATCGGGTACCTTGCAGTCTTCCCGTAGGATGGCTCTGGCCCTATCCACGACTTCAGATAGAGTCAATGACTCCATGCGAGCGCCGGCCCGTAGCATTTGCTTCACAGATTCGGGTAGGCCGGCAACGAAAGCGCATCCCATCCCCTCTTCGGAGAGCCCTCCAAAGAGGGTTGACAGCCGTTGCAAGTCTGCCAAATACACATCTACCGATTCTCCCGTGCCCAGCCGACGTGCGCTGAACATTTCATACGCAGTGTATTTATCAGCGGCAAAGGCGCGTCGCAGAGCCGCCTTTACTTTAACCGCCTCTCTCCTGTCCACTTCAGGCAGCTGCCGATAAACAGCAGAAGCGCCACCCTTCAATCGCAGTGGTATGACTACCACTTGATCTGCAGCCGGTTGCTGAAGATTGCATACCATTTCCACCTTTTCGATCCAGTCGACAACATCCCCAGTACCGTCGAATTCTGGGATCAATCTCACATCGAAACTTGCCATGGTTGAATTGAAATAATGTCTAAAACGAAAAGGAATGCTGAAATAGCTTGTAGGAATTTGATTAGATTTATCGTCCTTTGATCTCTTCGACACCAAAACTGTCCGCAGTCCGATAAGTTATCTTTCGTATTAATGAACAAACATAATCAGTAATCGCAATTGACACTAAGAATCACCGGATCACCAATGCCGGCCTACGCCTTTTCCACACGAGTCTTCCACACAATCACTTTACTCATAAGTCATACTCCTCCCAGATGCTCCTAAGCCCCAAGCAATCTTCACTTCTTGCCAGGGCCTCACCCCACCTGACCCAAAAAGCAGAACATTCAATTCACTTAACAAATAAATGACCAGTTCACGTGCACTTTTGAAACAACGCCCTTTCAAGCGGTAACATTAAATCACATCAAACATTTAAAAATCGTTAGATATTTGCGCTGACGTCACACATTCAGAGGGGTATTCCTAAGCATTAGCCCCTCTGAATCAAAATGCTGCAATTTTGAAATTCAATATTTCCGATTTAAGGCATTTCTCGATGTTGTGAGTGCCGAAACCGGTAATTGTGAGCCAGGGACCCCATTTTGGCTATCTCAACTCAAATCTAATGTTAAGGTGGGAGGGTCCCTTTAACCAGATAGGCTATCAACGAGTCCGAGAACTGACACAGCCCGGTGGGACCGCTACCCACCGCGTGGTTCAAAAGGCGCAGCTCCCACTGGAATCAGAACCGATCGATTGTTGCGCACTGCACTGGGTGGCAGACGGTGCGGCACACACTGTTATTAGAGTTGCAGGCGTGTCTTAGACATTAGCCTCGTTTAGCAGCAATGTAGTATGGTAGGAACCAACATTTCGTGTTTTTACAATGTGTCAGTGTTGCTGGATAAATGAAGAACTAATATTAACGAGGATGTCTACTTGATATGAACGGGTGTCGGATAATGACCCATCATATTCCTGATTAAATATTCTAAATGTGCACATTTAGGGTCACACTCACCCGAACACACCGGCCAGCATATGTGCACAATCTGGCTACACCACATCTTTGGTTTGCCCTCTACGAATTAGGACATGCTAGATCGGGAAAATCCCCACTGTGCATTGGCCGACAGAAGAAAGCCAAGGCTTCACTCCGCCAACCCAGCGGACCAAGTCGGCACGGATCACCTTGGGATCACCTACTCAATGCTGTTGGTTTTCGCCTACGTACGGTTCAGCACACCCCTACATCGGTTTAACCCTCGCCGGACCTATTGGTTTTCTACATACGCGACGGCCGAGGGGGGGGGGGGTACGACCCCCTCGCCGTTTCGCCCCTGGTGGAGCTAGCACGTCGCGGAAAAAACGAGCGTGTGGGCCGTTACGAGACGCAGAGATTGGTACCCGATTTTAAGGTCCTAGGTCAACCGGTGACCTCTGAGGTCAGGTCAAGTGCCCCAAGGTACGGTTCAGTTTTTGGTGAATAACTTCCCAAAAAAACGGCCGCAGAGCCGCGATTTTGGCAGCATCGTGTTCGTCTCGCTCAGGCGCGTCGAATGATATATTTTTTGTTCGGGTCAGGTCAACTTAGGGTGTTGACCTAAGGTCAAGGTCAGGTCAGCACCCCCAGGTAACGAAGTTGGTCGAAATAGGTCATGTCGCATATCATTCGATTCGGCAGGTCTTCCTGAGTCCATTGGTGGCTTTCTCGACTCGCCAGCTCAATTTGATCAAGAGTTATTGACGAAAAACTAATATGACCTTGATGACGTCATAAATGACGTCACGCAAGGTCAACATTGCAAAAATGGCGCATCTAACCTTGCAAGGAGTGCATCAAATCACGATTCTGTGTGCTTGAGATAGTTGGAGATCGTTCCCGGCGCCAGAATAGCAGTTTTCATTTTTCTTCATTTACTTATAATGGTGAGGTCACGAAAATGACCTGACCTCATATGACCTTTAGGAAAAATCCGAGATATACAAGTTGTGAGACTCATAATGGATACTAGATCCTGCAAGTTTCATTTCCCTGTGACATCTCATCTGGCAGTGAGGGCGTTGCGAAGTTGCGACATCTGAAGACCGTGCAGAGGTTCACTTATGACGTCATAGGTCAGTGACCTGACCTGACCCAAAAATGCGGTTGGTGTCAAAAGATCCGGCTTGGATCAAAGGTCAGGTACGCCAAGTTTCAGCTCTCTATCGCCAGCGTGTTCGGAGCTATCGCGAAAAAAAAAACCTATGGGGGGGGCGGCACCCGCCCCCCCCCCCTCGGCCGGCGAGGGTTAATTTAGCCCACGACAGAAAGCCAAGGCTTCACTCCGCCAACTCAACGGACCGAGTCGGCAGGGGTCACCAGCTGCTAAATGCTGTTGGTTTTCGCCTACGTACGGTTCAGCACACCCCTACATCAGTTTAATTTAGCCCACTACAGAAAGCCAAGGCTTCACTCCGCCAACTAAGCGGACCGAGTCGGCAGGGGTCACCAGCTGCTGAATGCTGTTGGTTTTTCGCCTACCTCCGATTCAGCACCCGAAGAAATTTTCGAAGGGGGAAACCTCCCCTTTCCCCCTTAAAAGTTACATTGGTTGCAATATATTGCAGTGTATTGATTTGTACTACTCGTTGCAAGCCGATCCATCCGAAAATGGCTATTATTGGCTGCCGAGTCAGGTGAAACGAGTAAGGCGGGCAAAACATAACACACAAGCACAACATACAAACATAACATACGTCACATTTGCACACATACCTACATTCGCGCCACCGCACCGCTAAACTTTACACTGGCCAGGTCACCGTGCTGCTCACACAATAGGAGCTTACTTAGATAGGAGCCCCGCCGGCTCAGCGGACCGAGTCGGTAGGTATCACCTGCTCAGTGGCTTTTTTTGCCTTCCTACACCTACTCGAGCTCTCGCACTCATTGACTCTCCTCATTCTCGCCCTGTGTCACGCAGTGCACACTTCGCGGGGCGAACCTAAGGGACGCGATAGAAACGAAGTATTGCGCCATGCGGGCCAGGATGGTCCGTGTTCCCGGCGACGTCAAATGGACCCCATCTGAAGAGAAAAGGTCGGGATTTGACCGCAGAGTTCGCCCAACTTCCTCGAATGTCACCCTTCGCCCGGACGCTTTTGCAACCGCCGCCACCCTTCTTCGCATGCAGTAATTAACCCTTCTCAGGAAGCTGAAATGCTCGCGGAGAGCCGGACGAGGAAAAACACCAAACACAAGCGCACACAGATTGGAATTTTGGGCAAGGAGCTCCCGCAAAAGATTTTCGTGGGCATCCAGCTCCGTCTGTGTCTCTTCGTCGGACTTACGCCCTGTTCGACTGAACACCCCGTTTCCGCCCATCGAAAAGAAAAGCAAAAAGAGTTGAGTCCTATCCTTGCCACACAGCAACCCCACCCTCCCCAGGATATCTGCAGTTACAAGTGCGTTCGTGCAGGATTCTCCATAATAGGACAGAACGGGAGGTGTGTGCTCGAAGTTGATGAACTCGGTCTTAAGGGATGTGCGACGAATTTTTCTGTTGATGACATCGAGGTGAGGCCCAACCCTAAAATCACTAAACTTTTCATCCCCAACCATCAAAACTTTAACCGTCACCACCCTCCCCGCTGCCCACCGCCTAGCCTGGATCTTCCTCCTCCTTCTCTTGCTGACAGCAGGTGCCATGTTGAACTGGAAAGCAAAGAAAATCTATAAGACGGTTGAATGACAAGACATACGAATGTCATCCCTTCTAACTCTGTCTCTGTCTCTGTCTCTCTTTCCTACAGATACCAAATTTAAAAGCAGTAACCCGAAAAACACAATCTCTCTTCTTTCTTTGAGAAGTTCTAGCAGGTCGCGATTTTCCTTTTTATACTATAACTGACCTGACTCGGAAAGCAAACACTGAACTTTAACCCTCGCCCTGGCAGGGCATTTTTTATAACACGGCCTGGCAGGGAGGGGGTCGATGCGACCCCCCTCTCGCGATTGGCTCCTATGGCACCTAGAAACACCAAATTTGGTAGGTAGGTGGGCCCCCTGGAGTTCTCGCCCCTTTGCAAATTTGGTTGCTGGTCAATATTTAGGGGGGTTTCGGGAGTATAAATGTAAAAATTTCGCTAAAAACAGGTCAAAAGTTTTTCGCTTATAGCTTTTGATCTAATTAAGATAGAGCAAAAAGAAAAGCACCAGTGAACTCAGCACGTCAAGGCGCGTCGAATGATAAACGTTTTAGCTTGCTTAAGTGTACTTAAAGTTTTTCTTTATTTTTGAGTAAACTTTAATTAATTAATTAAGTTGAAGTTAACCAAATTGCATCATATCGCATATCATTCAATTCGGCTGATCACCAGGAACACAATGACACCATTTTTAAGCTCTAGCGTTATTATGTGCCAAGTTATTGGCAAAAACGTCATTTGACCTCAGTTGACCTCATTTGACCTGACCCATGGATAAGTACACCAAACAAAGGAGCACCAAGTGACCTGCTGTTAAGTACTGTGGTTTCAAAGCACAAAAGTGATAGCACGAAGCGGATATCTCCAGTATTTTCCGAATTTAGTATTTGCCCATACCCCATACTCTATAGGCTTAACCCGCGCCCCGTAGGGCTACCGGCGGACCCTACCACCCGCAGGGGGGGGGGCGTTTCGGCCCCCCCCCCTAAGATCTCGGAAAGTTACCGGCCGATTTTCAAAATTCAAACGGCGTTCGATAGCCCCACCCGTGAACTACCTTGTGACCAAGTTTCATTGACCTAGGTCAAACCGATGACGTCACAGGTCAGGTCAAAGGTCAGATTTTCACCGTTCACAGGCATTTCAAGAAATGTGTTGTGAAATCGAGTAAATTGGTAATTCATCGAAAACCATCGATGGTACATTGTTCGTTAAACACATACTTTGCTATCTGAGGTCACTGATACCAGGTCATGTCACAGCGAGGTCAGGTCACCGGGGGGTCACAATATGAAAGTGTCGTGTGATACATGTTTTATGGTCCATTTTACATGACAAATGCGATTATGTGGGTTAGGCAGCCTTTGGGGCCAGCCTAGGTCACGTTTTGGTGAAGGTCAGGCCAAATTAGGTCAAATTTCAAAGTTGATATTTTTGCATAAAATGGGTATTGATTCGATGCAGCTCGTCACGGGGAGTCTAATGGTGGTCTTTGTTTTGCCCTAAAAGGTCTAGAATTGCCAAAAATTGAGTTTGAAAATTTGAAGTCATCATTTTTGAACAGTTTTTTTTTTTTCGCTATAACTTGGCCAAAAAACGAGATATCGATCTGAAATTTGGTATGTAGATAGCAGACGGGAGGTACTATCACATATATTCCGTTTTTTTCGAAACTCAAAAAACTTTTTTGATTTTTTTGGCTAATATATCCAAAAAAATGCTTTTTCATTTTGGGGTGTCAAAACTCAAAAATTTCAAAAATCCGAGATAGCAGTTTTGTAGCCCTGTCAATTCTACACCTTTTATGTCTTGATCATTTTTCTGTATCTTCAAAGCTGTAGGCCTGACAGGTCTTCTCGCGAAGGTCTTTTTTCGGTCGAAAATGACAGAACATGACGTCATTCTGACGTCATTTGTGGCCAACCTATGCCTCTGGAAAATTTTTTGGTCACAATGTGTAAAATTGATGCCCGGAGGTGTCCTGAAAGTTTGGTGGCGATATCTCTAGTCGTTTAGGAGATATCGACCGAAAAGGACACGGGGGGGGGGGGGGCCGTTTCGGCCCCCTACGGGGCGCGGATTAACCCGCGCCCTGATGGAAGGGCCATTTTGGCCCCCCCCCTGTGGTTTTTCTTGAATAGCGAGAAAACGGCGGCGCACAGCGCCGCCAAATTTTGGGTACCTTACCGGGCATCAATTTGACACCTTTACACAAAATTTCAAGTCACAGGTCACCTCAGGTCAGGAGTTATTGAGGTCAAACTGAGGTCATGTTCGAGTAAAAATGAGCAAAAAACATGACATCTTAAATGCTCATCAATTCTACAGTTAACAAGCAATTTTAAATTTCTTTATGTGGTTGTGTAGAGAAAAGTCGGCGCTACAAAATTGCTATCTCAGATTTTCAAAATTTTGGGATTTTGACCACCAAAATGATTTTTTTTTTAGAAAAACTCAAAAAATTTCCTTTTTTGAATTTTGAAAAAAAAAACGGAATATATGTGATAGTCCCTGCGCTCTTCGATATACATACCAAATTTTAGATCGATACCTCTTTTTTGGCCAAGTTATAGCGAAAAAAAACTGTTAAAAATTGATGACGTCAAATTTTTGAACTCAATTTTTAGCAGTTCTAGACCTCGTAGCGCAAAACGGAGACCACCATTGAACTCCCCGTGACAAGCTGCATCGAATCGGTAACCATTTTATGCAAAAATATCAACTTTGAAATTTGATTTAATTTGACCTGACCTTGACCAAAACGTGACCTAAGCTGACCCAAATGTCTGCCTGACCCACATAATCGCATTTGTCATGTAAAATGGACCATAAAACATGTATCATTCGACACTTTCATATTGTGACCTCCCCCCCCCCCCCCCCAGTGACCTGACCTCTGTGACCTGACCTGGTATCAGTGACCTCAAATAGCAAAATATGTGTTTGAAGAATATTTCCCCATCGATGATTTTCAATGAATAGCATTTTACTCGATTTTACAACGCTTTTCTTGACATGCCTGTAAACGGTGAAAATTTGACTTTTGACCTGACCTGTGACGTCATCGGTTTGACCGAGGTCAATGAAATTGGGTCACAAGGTTGTTCCCCATTGGGGCTATCCAGCGCCGATTACCGCTTGTCGCTATGTTGCGTGGTTCTCGAGATCTTAGGGGGGCCAAAATGGCCCCCTCCCCCCTCAGACCGCGTTGCTCGGCAGACCCCATCAGGGCGCGGGTTAACATTACGACGTAATGACCTCTAACTGACCTCAGGTCAGTGACCTAAAAAAACGAGCTACATGTTATACAACCAGGGGCGTAGGCAGGGGGGGGGCCACTGGGCCATGGCCCCCCCCCCCCCCCTTGGGCGCCGAAGGCGCCCTCCAATCGCAAATGCAATTGTGATATAATCGAATCGAAAAACAATCGCGACTGGAGGGCGCCCTCCAATCGCGAATGTGTTTACAGGGAAAATACGGATGGAGGGCGCCCTCGGAGGACGCCCATTCCAAATACGCCCTCCAAATACGGTTGGAGGGCTCCCTCGGGCGCCCTCCAACCACATTTGTAGGCTGTAGCTCTCTAAGCGTAACGGTGGTCGCCTATGTAAGCCGCTGTCCTGTAAATAAGCGCCCTCTCACCCGAAGGCGCCCTCCTGTAGGTCGCCACCCTGCTACACATTGCCGCCCTTCTGCTGATCGGCGTCCTCATAATTATTGGCGCTCTCCTACCTATTGAGCCTTCATGTGAAATTTTGAAGGCCGCCTTTCTCCCTTTTGGCACCCTCTTGTTCAGTGCCGCCCTCCTACCTATTGGTTCCCTAGTCCTTCCTGTTGAATGTTAATCGGGGCCCTTCTCCTATTGGCGCCCTCGTGTAGATCGTCGCCCTCCTAACCACTGGCACCCTCCTGTTGATCACCGCCCTCCTATCCACTGGCACCTTCCTGTTGACCAGCGCCCTCCGCACAGACGCCCTCCTGTTCGTGTCATCCTCTTGAGCAAAGGCGCCCTCCTCACCATTGCCACCCCCATTTTAATCGTCACCCTTCCGCTCATTGGCGACTTCCAGTTGATGACCGCCTTCCCACCTATTGGCGACCTCTTGTTGATCGCCACCCTCCTATTGGTGCTCTCTTGTTCCTCGCCACCCTCTTACCTGGTGGCGCCCTCCTGTTGATTGTTGATCGGCGCCCTCCTACCTATTGGTGCCCTCCTGTTGATCGCTGCCCTTCTATCCATTGGCGCCCTCCTGCTGCTCGCCAACTTCCTACCTATCGGTGCCCTACTGTCGAAACTCGGGATGTTGATCGGGGCTCTTCTACCTATTAGTGCCCTCCTGTGGATCGCAGCTCTTCTACCTATTGGCAACATCCGTTGATCGCTGCCCTCCTATCATTTATTTACTCCTTTGGCATGTTTTTCAACTTAGTCGTTCTATTGCACATAGTTGATGTCTTGCCTGTGAAAACTGCCACAAATGAACGTGCATTCAGCACAATGAATGAAGTATCTATACCTACCAAAACTATCTACGCTCTACGATGCATAAAACACGTCTTTGGTCTTAACGGATTGATCCTACTTTACGTGCATCATGGCATCTATATGGATTACGATTAAGTATTGTCAACAGGTTCGGGCGCAACAGCAGGCATCTGAAGTTTCGGTGATTGAAACTGGTTATGTGGGTACACTGTATGCATCTGTGAGAAGGCTATGAAGGCTGGTCTGAGGTAATTTGGATGATGTTTACGCATCTCGCGCTCCGGTATCAATCCGAATCGGTGATCTGGTGCGTAGATATGCCACCGCCAATAAACTTTTATACATCGACACCCATGAGCCAAGCTTTCTGTACAGTTTGTGTGGCAGCGGCCCGACCAAACCTTAGGTAGTTTTTACACCTTCAAATTTGGTAAAAGAGCGAGAGGAGCTTTGAACAGTGATCGTATAAAAGGCGTGCCTAAAAAGCGGAGGAAAAGGTTGTTTTCAAAAATTTCGCGCGCCTTCGGCGCAGCATTTCAAGAACACTTGACCTTTTGTGACCTGGAGTATAAAGAATACACACGATGCAAAATCAATGCAGCACGACCTATACGAGGTTACGCAAAAAAAAAAACTGGTGGCATGGTAAAAAACGCCTCCCAACCCCCCAACCCCCACTGAGCGATTTTTTATCTCGCGACCGTATGGCGCCCTCCTTGGGTGAGGTGGCGCCCTCCAAACCCTTGGCCCCCCCCTTCGCGATTTTCTAAATACGCCGCTGTATACAACTCGGTGAACGTAGCACACCCTGAAAGTTTGAAGGAAATCAGTCCAAAACTGTGAGTTGGACAGGTGCAAAAAGAAAATTGAAATTTGACCATGAACTTGTACCGGTTTTGCTGACCTGGTGACCTGACCCAAGGTCACCCGGACCTGAAATTTTCAGGTCATACGTAAAAAGGTTGCCCCATAGGCTGTGCCAAATTTGGCGCCGCTGCGCGCCGCCGTTTTTACGCTATCTTCGAAAAACCTTAGGGGGGGGTCGCATCGACCCCCCCCCCCCCCGCCAGGGCGAGAGTGCGTATCATCGGCTTCCTCTCGTGACGGGCTTTCTTCCCCCATTTCAATCAATTGTCAACTAGAAAAAAGTTTTGACCACTTGAGTTTAGCCAACTTTTGCCACCATGGTTTCTGCCAGCCGGTAGTGTGCCAGCTTTCTTGGACCATATGGAGTTAATGACCCGGATAAGGAGAACCGGATTTTTAGAACTTACCCATACCTTCAAAACTCATGGAAACGTCTTAAATTCTTCAAATTTTGAGTACCCCAGTGCGAAATTCGCCCCGACGGGTTGTCGGTCGTACCCCAACCACATTTCACACCACTATGAACAATAAATGCACACACTAAAATCGCTATTACCGATAGGCTCATCCAATAAAGTTTCGATAAACCCGTTCATCATCATCTCCTGCGGTTTCGAACACGCCTGTTAGGTGGCTTCTGATGCTCGTCGAGGTCGGAATTTCCAAATACGCGTGGTGCGTCGGGCCGCGCGCTCTGACTTCAGCCAAGAAAAATGCGTCAGCTGATCATTGTCATTTCTGCCACTTGCGTGTGGTGAAATGGGGTCATAACTTAAGAGACGGCTGTTTCATATCAATTATTTTACATAAAATAATATTTCAAAACATAAATTAATGTTCGACAGCCAAATTAAAGAAACAATACCAATACAGGCTTACAGTTGAAGTTCGACATTGTGTTGTCTACCTACGATTAGACAGCTGATACAGTGTGGCTAAATTCATTTTACGTTAGGGGGAAGATGTAGAAAAAAGGCCGGAAAGGATGTCGTTATCTTCGTAAAACTTGACTTCGACCCGTTTTAAGCACTTTTTGATGTGTCTCGAGAAAATGATGTAGAAATGTTAGATACTGATTTTGATATTTGGGATGATACATAAGGTTTTTAAGTCGTGTCATATATTTGAACATTTTGGTTATTCGAATGGTTGTCTTGGCACGTTGTGAAAGTTTGCGAGGTTTGTGTTTCTCTTGCTCCTAGGCGTTTGGGTTCGAGATTGTTATTATAAGTCATCCCACTGCCGTATGGATGCTTTTATTTATATTTTTAGGATGTGATTATACTTTTCATTATGGGTGGATTTCCCCGCATCATTACAATTTTGGACACACTGAGCTGATATCTCATTCCCGTACGTCGTAGCTCTATAATGACCTTTGCTTATTGTCACATGTACGCCGCATTCGCGATTGTTGCCGACGCCTGATTGCAGGTCAGCCCACTACAGTTGTTATACATATCGAAAAAGCGTTAAGCTTTTAGGCGAAAAAAGCATTATTTCAGGCCAATTTTTGATTTTTTTTTGCGATATTTGTTAAAACAGAAGCTTCTTATCCTAGGAAAAATAAAATGGGAAATCATTGGAAGGTGGCACACTACCTTTAACCCTCGCTGGCCGAGGGGGGGGGGGTGCCGCCCCGGCCATAGGTTTTTTACACTATAGCTCCGAACACGCTGGCGATAGAGAGCTGAAACTTGGCATACCTGACCTTTGATTCAAGCCAGATCTTTTGACACCAACCGCATTTTTGGGTCAGGTCAGGTCACTGACCTATGACGTCATAAGTGAACCTCTGCCCGGTCTTTAGATGTCGCAACTTCGCAACGCCTTACTGCCAGAGGAGATGTCACAGGGAAATGAAACTTGCAGGATCTAGTATCCATTATGAGTCTCACAACTTGTATATCTCGAATTTTTCCTAAAGGTCATATGAGGTCAGGTCACTTTCGTGACCTCACCATTATGTCAATGGGGAAAAATGAAAACTGCTATTCTGGCGCCGGGAACGATCTCCAACTATCTCAAGCACACATAATCGTGATTTGATGCACTCCTTGCAAGGTTAGATGCGTCACTTTTGCAATGTTGACCTTGCGTGACGTCATTTATGACATCATCAAGGTCATATTAGTTTTTCGTCAATAACTCCCGATCAAATTGAGCTAGCGAGTCGGGATAGCCACCAATGGACTCAGGAAGACCTGCCGAATCGAATGATATGCGACATGACCTCTTTCGACCAACTTCGTGACCTCGGGTGCTGACCTGACCTTGACCTGAGGTCAACACCCTAAGTTGACCTGACCCGAACAAAAATTATATCATTCGACGCGCCTGAGCGAGGCGAACACGATGCTGCCAAAATCGCGGCTCTGCGGTAGTTTTTTGCTAAGTTATTCACCAAAAACTGAACAGTACCTTGGGGCACTTGACCTGACCTCAGAGGTCACCGGTTGACCTAGGACCATAAATCGGGTACCAATCTCTGCGTCTCGTAACGGCGCACACGCTCGTTTTTTCCGCGACGTGCTAGCTCCACCAGGGACGAAACGGCGAGGGGGGTCGTACCCGCCTCCCCCCCCCCCCCTCGGCCGGCGCGTATGTAGAAAACCAATAGGTCCGCGAGGGTTAAACCAGCTAAAACCACTGACAAAAAGCAGTCTATGCCACCCCCTGCCAACCCTGCTGACAAGTCGCTTCCCCATAAAATGAGCAGAGTAATTGTCATTGACGCCGACACCTACCTCCTTTTCGTTGAGCTTGTCCCTGGACTGCTTCATGGGGATCTCGGATCTCGCCTCAATGGCCGCTTCCTTCCCGAGATCGATCTCCTCGGGCGCCTCCTCCTTCACTTCTGCGGGCCACACAGGATCACGATGAAGGTCATGGGGGAACGGACCGGGTCGAGCGACATTCGACACGGCAAAGATGAAGAAATACTCTTTTTTTGTACATTAAGAGATAACACTTCAAATAACTCATAAAATACTGCTATAAAAATAGCAGTAGGGGAGACCCGGGAGGTATGGGCCCCCGGGAGGTATGGGCCATCGCAGTTTTGAAGAAGTGTTGCGTATTTTTACACATTTGACCGCGTTAACTGATAGCAGCCATTCCGTTATACAACCCATGTGATTTCCAAAATCTTCCCCAGTCTTCTTTGGCAATGAGCGGCGATAAAGCGTTTTTGCCTCCTCGAGTAAAAAAAAAAAAAAAAAATACCTCCCGGTGTATTTTGATGGATTGAAAAAGCGCATGGTTTATTAAAAGTTATCTGGAGACAAAATAGTTGATCCCAGATGCCTGATGTCAGGCACACATTGAAGGCGAAAGGCAATCTCACGTACACAGAGTGAAAACCGGGTCTAGCCGATGCCCACTGGAAGAAAATTGCCTTTTCACAAAACCGGCCCATACCTCCCGGGTCTCCCAGGTAATAACCCTCGCCCGCACATGGGGGGGGGGTTGCCACCCTCCTCCACCAGGTAGTCTTTCTGCTCTGCACTCAAACTTTTAGAGCTAGAAGCCTGATGTTTCGTATAGCTGCTCCTCTATCCTTTCTTGATGTCCTCTGAAAATTTCAAGTTTCTGTGGTTTTTGGTTTCGGAGATATGACCTTGTTTTTCAGGTCATGTCATGACCCAAATGACCAATTCTCAACATCTTGCGTTGGGTATGTGCCTTGTGAGCTTTTGACACCTTGATTTCGGCCTTTTTTGCCAGTCTTACCTCCCACCTATCATGGAACATGTTGTTCGACGATGTACAGATGTCAAGGTATGGGTGAAGGTCAACCTAGGTCATCTAAAATAAGTGCGTTCTAGGCAAGCTGAATTTACTTTTCGTGAAGTTTTTTTGACTGCATTTTTGGTAAAAGCTTCTCAGATCATGATTTCATGTAATATGGACATTGGACACATAAACAATCGGTGCACACATCAGTATACACACAGAAACACACAGACATACAAACACATATCATTGACCTTGACCTAACTTGACCTGAAATGACCTCAGCAGCAAAAGCCTGGTCGGGTAGAGTGACAAAGAGGTTCTAGCTGGCTTGGCACCAGAAAACGGCATCGTCATTGGTATATGACAAGCAGCGCACTTGATATCCAACGGTGACCCAAAACAGCAACATTTTTTACTTTGACCTGACCTGGAAGGTCAATGACTGACCTGAGAAGGTAAAACTGGGTAGCATTGGATTCGTCTCTTCCCAAAGAATCTTTTTGGTCTTTACCGCGAAGCTCTATCTCCAAAGGAACGAAATGGCGCGGGGGGGGGGTGGCAACCACCCCATGTGCGTTCTAGGATGGGAAAATGGCATGTGCGGGCGAGGGTTAATAACCCCTTTACTCCAACCTATCACAAACAGTACCTTTTTTGGTCTCTTCGACCTTGACCTTTTTGGCGGGCGGCTCGTCGTCCTTGCTCTCCGCGGGCTCCTGTTTGGGCGGCTGCAGCATCTTGTCGACGTCAGTGCGGCCGTTCAGTTCCTCGGGACGCTCCCAGACGGATGTGCGCGTCGACGGGTTGTAGAAGAACACCCGGCCGTCCCCGGTCCACACCACGCACCTAACGGATGGAAAGAGAGAGCGGGAGGGGCGGGGGCGGGGGATCATAGATGACCACGCGGGAGTCCCCGGTCGCAGTCCACACCACGCACCAACTGGAGACAAAAGACGTGTGGTGGGTTATATAAAACACTCAGTTCTGTAGCCTATGTTGTCTCGAAACCATTGACACACAGACTCTCGTTCGTCCCGTTTGCCTACCATGCTGCACATACCGCCGCCATCCAATGCTGGCGGTGCACTCACCAGGGCGAGCCGGGCACGGGCGTGGAGCTGACCGGACGGCTCTCGTCCTCCTGTTTGGCCGGCGCCGGTTCCTCCACCTCCTCCACCTCGAGCGGCTCAGACTTCACCTCGACCGGCTCAGGCGTCACCTCGAGCGGCTCAGAATTCACCTCGAGCGGCTCAGACTTCACCTCGAGCGGCTCAGACTTCACCTCGAGCGGCTCAGACTCCACCTCGAGCGGCTCAGACTCCACCTCGAGCAGCTCGGTGGGGTTGATCTCGCCGGCAGCTACGGCGGCGGCGGCCAGCCGGGCGGCTGGCGGCACTGGGCGGTGGCCGGTCAGACACGACCCAAGGCAACGACTGGCTTGTCAGACGCGGCACCACTTAGGTACCAGCTGCGTCAGTACAGACACAAGGGAAGAACCCGATCTACAGCCGTCACCGGACCTCTGAGCAATTCACCCCACCTCAAGTATAAGGATAAACACTGAGGCCCAGTCGTCCCCGGACACATTAACATTTTCGCGAGTACAATAGTCTCACTGACATTGTCCGTAATGCAACAAACTAGGTCGTCTAATCAGCTGCCGCCGGAATATTTACACGACCCTCCCTTCTGACTCCGCCCCCTATTAAAACGCACATCCACTCAGTCATGCACGCGGCGCGCGGCCGCTGCTGCGGCAGACTCACCCTCCAGGTCTGCGATCTGGGGCGGCGGCGCCGAGTGGTGGCTCGGCCGCGGGCCCGAGAACGGCGGCGGCCCGGACGGAGGGCTCATCGGGTCGCTCCAATGCCCCGGCGGCGGGCCCATGCCCGGGCCGCCCATACCCGGTGGGCCTGGCGGGTGCGGCTCCTGCGGCGGCGGCACACGGGGCAGGGTCAGTTGGGGCAGAGCAGTGCTGCGAGGAACATGTGCGCAGCACAGCAGCAAGCACACGAAATTCGGCGATCGAGCAGCCTAAGAAAGCTGCGAGCTGGCATTTAGTGCTGCTGTAATCAGCCCACATAGTATGTGCAAGATGTAGAAAACCAGCGTGTAAGCGCGACATGAACGACTACTTTACAAACGCCATCACTGCGCTGGCCGCTGTGTCGAACAATATGTACCGGCAGCCTAGAATACATGCACCAACTAAAACAGACTCATATAGTCCCTGACCACCAGAACGGTACCATGCGGCATGCGTCACTCACCATCGGCCCACCGGGACCCATCATGCCCGGGTGCGGGTCCCAGTTAGGGTCGAACGGCGGCGGACCCCGGAACGGCGGCCGCGGACCGCGGAAGAACGGTGGCGGAGGCGGGCCCCGCCACGGACCGCGCGGGCCCGGCGGACCGTTCCATGGCGGGCCGGGCGGACCGCCGCGGCCACGGAATCGGGGCGGCGGCGGCCCGCGCCATGGGGGTCCGGGCGGGTCACCAGGGGGGTCAGGCCACCTGTAGGGAGAGGGGCTGTCAGAGTTTGTTATGTTTTGTCCTGCTAGACTATTCTATTAGACCTTTGTTGTATATTTTTTTGGCAAAATTTATACAAAAATCTCAAGAACTGGAAAGTCTAGCGACTTTACACAAACAGGTCACAGCATGTGAGAGGCGAGACACCTGCTAAAAGAATACCAAAAGTTGCACTAATCTAGCAACCAGGTCCAGCTCTAACATGAGTTGTAAAAAAATGATAAAAAGATGCAATGTGTAATAAGGCCATGTACCCTACTCCTGCTGAGCTGTTCGCCTATGCACCAATTCTCGATTGCCTTGTACCTGGACAGTTTGCTTACCAAATATCTATGCCCGGAGCCGGGATGGTTCTAAGGCTCGATGGGGCACGGGCACTGGGCAGTAAGCCATATATGTTGGGTTAGCCTAAGGGCTGTTCACGGGCCCTGCGTGCGGGAGGACCGTACAGAGGCTTCAAGCTCTGCCCACTGCGTCCCTACGCCAGCCTTGCGTCACCGCACACAGCGACCGCCGAGGCCGGTCGGGATCGCACAGCGTTGGCTGTGTGCGGTTCACTGCACGCAGCCGTGTGGCGTCATACAGACTACCCCTTCCCTACCCCCACGCCTGCTGCACACACCGCACACACCGCACTCAGCAGTGTGCGGTGCCCGTGAACAGCCCTCTGCACCGCGCAGAAACGCTTGTGTCGAGGAGTATGTTGAGGTAAACGGCTTCATACAAGAGAACGTGCAATATTAAAACGAATGCTGTTGTTGATCGTAGTTTTTGTTTTTACTCTGGTTGTCGAGTTCGACCTTGTTGAAACTTAACACCGAGTAATATCGATGTTATCTGTCACAATCTGTTTATTTTTAACCTTCGCCCCAGTGGGGGGGGGGGGCATATGTTACCACCCTGTCGCGTTTTTTGCGTGTGAATAAAAAACCGCGGCGCATAGCGCCGCGCCGCTTGGGGTAGCTTTTGGTATATCAATTTTGGGCAATGTGTGAAATTTTTGACCCCAGGTCATGTCAGGTCAGGTCACCAGGTCAAGTTAACTGACCAAGCCTCAAAAAAAGTTTGCAATCATGTCCAGCCTGCAGTGTTTGTCAGAAAGGTTTTGAACTTGGTGGATTGCATGCTGTTATGAGCGCCTACAATTTGTATATCTCGGATTTTTTATATCCGTGACCTAAGGTCAGGTCAGTGGCGTGACCTTTCCATTACAAGTCAATGGAGAAAAATGAAATGCCTCTAGATCCGTGTGTACGCATAGGAACAGTCCAAATATTTCAGAATCACAATGATTTAGTCCACTCGTGATTACCTAGGTGTCATTTTTGCTGATAGCCTCTAGAAAGGTCATCCGAGGTCAGTTGAGGCTACAAAAAGTGTTTTGCCAATAACTCGCGATTGGAAAGAGTAGAACGCTGGGGATGGTCTCATTGTGTTTGTCTTGTTGAGACGCATCGACTGATATGCAACATGACCTTTTCCGGTCAGGTCATGACCTTGACCTGAGGTCAAATTTTCAAGTTGACCTTTCAAGGTCAAATTATAGTTCATTCGACGCGTCTCGGCAAGGGGAACACGATTCTGGCAATAAAAATGTCGTGGCTTTTTGTAGTCGAAAGTAATTGTCGAAAAACACTTTTCGTAAAAGCAGCTATTTTTGGAGTTTTTGCCCTCTGGAGGCTAAACCGTTGACCTGAGGTCAATATTGATAATGACCTTTTCAAAAGAAGAGCTCAAAAGCTATCGATTGCTCTCTCCTGCGTTTTTCTTGCTAACGTAGTTCCTGAGATAGCGGCATGTTTTCTGAAAAATATAATGACAAAAGGCAAATTTTGACCTTTGATGACCTCTGGTGACCCCAATTCTGCTCTAAGGTGAAAATGACCGAAATACTTTCAAACGTACGCATTAAGAGCTATCGACTGCTTTTTACCGCGTCTTTCTAGCCCTCTTAGTTTTTGAGTTAGAGGTGGGTGGTAACATATGCCCCCCCCCCCCCCCCCACTAGGGCGAAGTTGGCTGAGACCGCCACTGGGGCGCGGGTTAATAGCTCTATTTTCTTACCGTACTTTTATTATATCGCGTTTTAATCATGATATCGGGCATGTCTCAGTCTGTGTCGTCCCAGGACGTAGTTGATCACTTTGATCCACATAATATTGAGGTCACTTTTGCCGAGACAGACGATGAGCCGGCGACCTCACCAGTCCCCAGCGGGTCAGGTGACGGCCCGCCTCAGCCGACCGCGGGGCCGCGCCCCAGCGTGTCAGGTCACATTGCTCCAACAGACGGTAAATAACTTTTGAAAATACCCATCTCCAATTTTAATGTTTTCTGAACCAAAATTTTGCGAGGAATCCGATGGTGTGGTCCCCGAAATCTGAAAAATTTCCATTTTGGAGATAGCACCTATTTTTTGAAAAGCAAATATTCGTCATGCACAAAAGTCAAATAAATTGAAAATATAATGAGTGAATATTTATATTAACACTAGAATGTATCGAACATGAATTAGTGATATATTTTAGCTGAGATAATACTATATCTGTGCATACATGTACATAAACTAGTACATTAACCCTCGCCGGCCGAGAAGGGGTGAGGCGGATGCCGCCTCATAGGTTTTTTTTTCGCGATAGCTCAAAACATGCTGAGGGAAAACAGCTGAAACTTGGCATACCTAATATTTTATTCAAGCTGGATCTTTTGACACCAACTGTGTTTTCAGGTCAGGTCAGGTCACTGACCTATGACGTCATAAATGAACCTCTGCACGGTCCTCAGAAGTTGCAACTTTGCAACGCCCTCAGTGCCAGAGGAACTTTCACAGGAAGATGAAACTTACAGGACGTAGTATCCTTTAGAGGTCTCACAAATTGTATATCTCAGATTTTTCCCTAATGTCACATGAGGTCAGTTCGGTCACGTGACCTCACATAATAAGTCAATGGAAGGAAATATGAAAACTGTTATTTTGGCGCCGGAAATTGTTAAAAACTGTCCCAAGCACATGAAATCGTGGTTTCATGCACTCTTTGTAAGGTCCGATCATGAAACCACGATTTCATGTGCTTGGGATAGTTTTAGATCATTTCCGGCGCCAAAATAACAGTTTCAATATTTCCCCCATTGACTTATAATGGTGAGGTCACGTGACCGACCTGACCTCATGTGACATTCAGGTTAAATCCGAGATAAACAAGTTGTGAGACCTCAGAAGGATACTACGTCCTGTGACTTTCATCTTTCTGTGAAAGTTCCTCTGGCACTGAGGGCGTTGCAAAGTTGCAACATCTGAGGACCTCGCAGAGGTTTATTTATGACGTCATAGGTCAGTGACCTGACCTGACATGAAAACGCAGTTGTGGTCAAAAGATCCAGTTTGAATAAAAGATTAGGTAGGTATACCAAGTTTCAGCCGTCTACTCTAAGCGAGTTTTAAAGGTAGTGTGCCAGCTTTCTTGGACCGTATGGAGTTAATGGCCCACATAAGGAGAACCGGATTTTTAGAACTTATCCATACCTTCAAAACTCATGGAAACGTCTTAAATTCTTCAAATTTTGAGTACCCCAGTGCGAAATTCGCCCCGACGGGTTGTCGGTCGTACCCCAACCACATTTCACACCACTATGAACAATAAATGCACACACTGAAATCGCTATTACCGATATGCTCATCCAATCAAGTTTCGATAAACCCGTTCATCATCATCTCCTGCGGTTTCGAACACGCCTGTTAGGTGGCTTCTGATGCTCGTCGAGGTCGGAATTTCCAAATACGCGTGGTGCGTCGGGCCGCGCGCTCTGACTTCGGCCAAGAAAAATGCGTCAGCTGATCATTGTCATTTCTGCCACTTGCGTGTGGTGAAATGGGGTCATAACTTATAAGACGGCTTTTTCATATCAATTATTTTACATAAAATCATATTTCAAACCATAAATAATGTTCGACAGCCAAATAAAAGAAACAATACCAATACGGGCTTACAGTTTAAGGCTCGACATTGTGTTGTCTACGATTAGACAGCTGATAACTCATTCCCGTACAGTATATCTAAAAAGTATGTCCCCTGGTTTGGCTCTCCCACAGGAGGCGAATCGGTAACTTGGCTGAATCCCAGTTGCGGCACAAGGCCGCCAGGGTCGCTGTCGCGCGAGCGGCCTTGACCGCTCGCATGTCATTGGCAGTTCGGTCCCTCCCCATCTATATCGAGGTGGGGAGGGGAAAAGAGGGGAAGAGAGGGGAGGGAGCGGCATCCGCTCGGCACTGGGCGATACCTGGCTGACCCCGCCCTCCCTCGCTGACCTTTGTCCTGCCCTCAGGCGAAGCCCGACTTCCTGGCCTGTAGTGGCCGAGCGGAAAACCGAGCTCGCGGGGCGCGACTCCATTGGCCCAATCTTATAAATGGAATGCTGCCGTATTCACGGCATTAGATAATATTAATAGTGATACCAGCAGTGGATGTGGTAAAATACAGTCCAAAATAAACGAAAGCACACGATTCGTGCATAATGCGCCCTCCCATTCAAATAAGCCCGCCCACTTCGATAGATGGTGTAGTTTCTTAGGGCGTAAAAGATGCAAAACACTACCGATTTTTTTTTTAGCTCGGCCACTGGGACCGACAATATACAATTGACTGAAATGCATGAAAACCATTTTGCATTTAGGTAATAGCCGTTTTTTGCACCCAAACTTTAGCCAATGACGCCCTGTCCATTCTAAAGCGTTTATAAGATTGGTCCCAGCACCCGATTTTATATGAGGAAGTCGTTTAAAAAGCATCTTATTTCGAACGAATTTATTATTATGGCCACTTTTACAGGACGTCTATAGAGCTTTGTCTTTTACATTTCTTCCTCGTTCAGGAGAAACGTTTAAACCCCCACCGGACCTTCAGGTTTTCTGAATACCGAGGGGACGTTGGGGGTTGGAAGTGAGGAAACAACCCCCTTCGCCGATTCGCCCCTAATTGAGCTAG